AAATCGGATAGTGAAATGTTTTTCCTTAGATTAAATGCAATTTGTCTCACGCAATCCACGACTGCTAAAAAGCACTTGCAACGTCTACCTATCTAAATATAGTATAATAAATACAACTAAATATATATTAATTTGTTAAATGTGATTTACGTGGCATTAGAATAATTTATTTATTTACACTTCGTTACCTTAAACAAAAACATTGATATAAAAAGCAGGTTACATAAGTTATTAGGCAACAGGCGGCCTTATCGCTAACAATAAGTTGCCTGGAAGAAATCGCAAAAATAAGGAAGAAGAGAGTAAGTACAAGGAGTGCATAAATAGTTAACAAAAAAGAACATAAAATAGCACGTTACACTAACTATAACTAAAATAAAGTAAAATCTAAAAAAAATATAATAGTAATAATAAACACAAAAATGTAAAAGCTAGTGCAATGGTTAATGAGTCACAATTAATATATATAAGTAGCTAAATCACGACGCCGAAGATAAATATGTAATCAAAAAGTCGTGTACAATAATATTAGGTCCTTACATATGAAATTTGCGTATTTCGTACTGGCCACTTTAATCACGATGTTCTCTTCTTTGGTAAGGAATTCCAAATTCAAATTTGTACAGCTATTTACTCATGTATTTGTGCTTCGATGACCGTCATTCATTTGTTTTTTTTCTTCTGTTTTTTTCTGTTTGCGTCACTCATTTTACAAAATGGAAAACTTAAAGTATCGCATTATTTACGAGTACGAGTTCCGCCTTGGCACTAGTGTTGCGGAAACGACTCGAAGGGTGAATGATGTGTATGGCGGTCATGTTGCAAAAGAAAACACAGTTCGTTTTTGGTTCCAACGTTTTCGTTCTGGAAATTTCGACCAAGACGGAACAAGCCCCGTGGACGGCCTGAGACCCCAGTTGATAATGAAGTATTGAAGGCTATTGTGGAAGCGGATCCATCGCAAACCACGTCCGAGTTAGCTGCAGGCTGCGGTGTTAGTTATAAAACTGTTTTAATTCACTTGAAGCTAATTGGGAAGATTAAAAAGCTTGAAAGATGGGTACCTCACGAATTGACTGAAGCAAACCGGCAAACGCGCGTCGACTGCTGCGTTACATTACTGAACCGGCACAATGATGAAGGTATTTTAAACCGAATCATTACCTGTGATGAAAAATGGATTCTTTACGATAATCGAAAGCGCTCAGCGCAATGGTTGGATCCTGGCCAGCCAGTCAAATCCTGCCCCAAGCGAAAATTCACCCCAAAAAAGTTACTTGTAAGTGTTTGGTGGACTAGTGCCGGTATTGTTCATTGCAGCTTTCTCAAATCTGGCCAGACTATTACGGCTGATGTCTATTGTCAGCAATTGCAAACCATGATGGAAAAGCTAGCGGCTAAACAACCTAGGCTGGTCAATCGCTCCACGCCACTGCTACTTCATGACAACGCTAGACCACACACTGCACAACAGACGGCTACCAAATTAGAAGAGCTTCAATTGGAATGTCTAAGACATCCTCCGTACTCCCCGGACCTTGCTCCAACAGATTACCATTTTTTTCGAAATTTGGACAACTTCTTGCAAGGGAAAAAATTTAACTCTGATGGGGCAGTCCAAATTGCCTTCACAGATTTTATTGATTCCCGTCCGACTGGTTTTTTTAGTAAAGGGATCAATGAACTACCTATGAGATGGCAAAAGTGCATAGAAAACAATGGTTCATACTTTGATTAATTAAATATATTATATTTAAAAATATTCGACTTTTTGTTCCTCCCATACAAAACGCCAATTTCATATGTAAGGACCTAATATATCTTCATAATTTAAATTAAGACTACTGTAGTATTAAAAAAGTATTACTACGCGATGCTGAATTGTGAAATATAATCCCCCTACCAAAGTAATTTTTCGAAGCCCACGTCGAGATTCACATGCGACACAGCCTTTATGACAAAGGAATGAAGCGCAGCTGTGAAGCGTGTAAAGAACTGGCTTATGTCGTGTCGTCATCATTACGTAGTAATACAAAGCACATAACTCATATTTACATTATTCTTTTGTTTCAAAATTTTCTTGCTCTTGGAGAAACTGACGGTTTGCGTGCGGTTTTATTTCACAAATATTTTGTTGATAAAGTATTTAAATATGTTGGTACCAATTGTTTTATTAATTATGTCAAGTAGTCGCGTTTATAAAATAAGTTTTAATTCGTAGTTGTTCTTACTGACACATAGTATAATTTTTGGCTAGAGAAAATAAACCATATTATATTCAAATAGCTGCAAAAAATCTGAATAGTTTTAAATCTAAATGGTTTCGTGTCACAAAAAAAATATTGGCGTTAGTTATTGTCACGTAGTGAGACCTATATGTGCCTGAAATACGTAACAGAAAAATTAATCAGCTTTTGTGGATATATATTAATCAATAAAATAGAAAGCTGATAAAATAATATTACGGACATAATCTATTACATGATATAAGGCTGTTTTATGGTGACATAAAATGTAGGCTGATATTATCGCCACCGTATCGGATGTGACAAGGTAATGAAAATAGCGGCAGATCGAATATTCTTAGAGAAAGAGAGAAAAATTCAAGGGTTCATACAACCTTAATACTTGTGTTCTTTTAAATATTCTACTTATTACTCGAATATCGGCTGTATTGTCATGGGATGTAGTTGTTCCATTTTATCGTAGTTTAACAATTACGTATAATAATACTTATTTTGATAATTAGGGTTGGGATATCTCGAGGAAGGCTTGTCAACCATGTGCCCAATAGCTGTGATCTGCGTTGTACCTATAGGTATGGCTAAATATGAACCTGGCTGAAAAATAAAACTTGAGACTTCAAACAAGTACCTATGTATTTCTTAAAATGATAGCAGTCGACCATGTCATGACCTTTCGACCATGTCTATGAATGCTGATTTCAGTTTACATCGAGGGTAAACATCCTGTCTGTGTGGCCTCTGACCTAGAAAAATTTAGATTCATAGGTATTTTTTTTTTTAAATATTAGAAAAGTTTTTTATATCTAATATGCAACAGATATATCTGATATCATAAAAATTTAATTTATGCAAAAACGATGGTGCAATCTTGTTAGGTACAACGTTCTATTAAGCGTTAGTTAAATTGCGGCACAAATAAGCTAGAGCGGAGATAGTTCAGGTGAGCGCGTAATGAAATGACATTCTCGGCCGTATCGATCGGACATAAATATAGCCGCTCTGCTACACGCTACCTTTGGCTAGATTCATACTTCCGACAATAATCGCATAAATGCAGTAAATAATTTTATTAAACACCTTGATAATTTAAAGTCGTGTATACCTTTGCGTCTTCGTTGCTAGGATATTGTCAATTTTGATCTAAGATGCGCTTACGCCATTTTCATCCCTTGTGCTTAAATGGCAAGGAATGAAGATGCCTAGCATGACAATGTTCCATGATCCTGTTAATCTAATATATAAAATTCTCGTGTCGCGATGTTTGTAGTTAAACTCCTCCGAAACGGCTTGACCGATTCTCATAAAATGTTGTGTGCATATTGGGTATGTCTGAGAATCGGACAACATCTATTTTTCATCCCCCTAAATGTTAAGGGTAGTCGGATTTTAAGATTATTTTTTTTTTTTTGATACAGCATTAAAAAATACATACAAACCCTCTACGATCAACCCCTATTTTTTATTATAAATGATAATATACATGGCAAAAGGACGTTTGCCGGATCAGCTAGTAAATTATAAAAATAAAGAATAATAAATGTGCCTTTCCGTAATGTCAAAAATTCACTTTAGTGGAAAGTGCTGAAGAAGGAATTGCATTGTACTAAGTAAATTTGACTTTTGGCGAAATTTGTCCGCTAAATAATTTGTTAATAAATAACTAGCGCTATTAAATTATCTAATAAGTCGTTTCAAACATGACTTCAAATATAAACAAACAGGCAGTTCCTTAACAGTCCGAAATAGCATAGAAAATAACTATACATAAGTAATAGTTATATACGAGTACTAGCCGTTTCGCGCCCGCTTTGCTGGACGAATTAAAATAAATTTTATGTTTCATTATTTTATTTTTTTTTCATATTTTTATTATTCTTCTTTTTAACTTCCCGCTAAGAAAATTGAAATATTTCGAAAATCGAGTTTTTAACAGATGTTGACGTTTAGAGGTTCTAGGAAGCCTCCCCGAATGTTTCCGCGGTGAAGTCCGTATGGATAAATTTTCATAAAAGTAAAACAGCAATAAAAAAATGAAGGAACGTTGGAATTTAATAAATAAATAGCCATAAACCATCTAGGAAAAATTTCGCATCGAAATGTCGATACGATCAGTGGTTTAGGCGTGAAAGAGCCTCAAACGAAGACCATTTTTCTTTTATATATATAGATTATGTCTTGAAATTATTATACTTTCTTCGTTACGTTCTACTACAAAATAGCAATTTTCTATTATATATATGCAACACAATAAATAGTAGAATTATTGCGGAAACGTTTTATATTATTAATCTTAAAAAGCAAACGATCTGATCTTTTATAATAATAAATATTGTTGCGAGTAGCGACGTTACGTTCCGTATTACGTTGAGCGCGGAAACCGAGACTATAGTCTGTACTGTACACAGCGGCATTAACGATCACCGCTCTACTGCGCATGCTCTGTGGTGACTTCTCTGCTTTTCTCAGTTTTGTTTGTAGGTTATTTACGCCGTCAATTGTCAAAATTTAAGTTAACATTAATTCAACAGTGATTTTGATGTTTGCTTACGTTTTATCGAAATAAAACATCTAAGCTTAAATTTGAATAGAAGTGAATTTTTGTTTAACCACAAGAATACAATTACTTTTGCCTACGAAATGTGAATACAGTCATCGTTACACACTTCATTTCGAAGGATTACCTGCGTCTTTCACATAGACCTCGAGTTTTTACAGATAGTTCATGTGGTTGGGTATTTCTGCTAAAACAGCATAATGACCATGAGTCAGGTGACCGTTTTGAAACTTTATAACTCTGTAGTAGATGATGTGATTGCTGGCGTGCGAGATTGTTTCCTTGATGACGGTGTGGACGAACAAGTATTACAAGAGTTAAAACAATTATGGAAATCAAAATTAGTTGCTAGCGGCGCGATGGACCCTGCACCTGAACCTCCGATGCAACAAATACCGCAGCCACCTGTATTACAACATTTTCAAAAGGTCAATGGTAACAATTTATTGTCAAAAAGAGGTGACATAGGGCCACAAACTTCTGGCCAGTCAGGGGTGGATCATGGAACGCCTGCTCCGAACATGGGTCATCCTCACCCAGTACTTGACCCTAATAATAAGGTACCTGTTCAACTAACACTACCGGCACAACCAAGTGTGCCTGGATCTCAACCACGTTCCTTTACTATTCAAATTCCAGCATCTGCACTTAATGGTAATAAACTTCATCAAGTATTAACTGGACCTATAATTAATGCAACAATTAATTTACCGCAACCATTGGCTGCAACACTTCTTCAGCAACATATAAACTCTGCACTGGCAGGTCAACAGAATGAATATGATGGAGGTGGTGGTGGTGGTCGTAGTGGTGCTGCACCCTTTTCTCTTGATGGTGCTTTAGATTCTTCTGATGATGAAGGGTCCAACGTGGGGGATGGTTCGGAAGATGCTGCTGGTGATGATGATGAAGATGAGGATTCAGTTGAAGAAAGAGCTGAAGAGGAAGAAGAAGAAAGAGATGAGTTTGGAGGAGCGGAGGAAGAACCATTAAACTCTGGTGATGATGTTTCTGATGAGGAACCTGGTGACATGTTTGACACTGACAATGTGGTAGTATGCCAATATGACAAGATTACACGTACAAGGAATAAGTGGAAATTTTATTTCAAAGATGGTATTATGAATCTAGCTGGAAAAGATTATGTTTTTCAAAAGGCCAATGGTGATGCAGAGTGGTAAATTTATTTATATATTATAATTTTTGTGGATGTAATGTTTGATATTGATGTAAATTGTTGTTGTTACAAAATACCAATATCAGCAGGCTTACAATTTCTTTAGTCCAAAAGCTGTATATAATTGTTTAATATGAGCATCAAATTATAAAAATTGTAGTGAATTAATTTAGTGTGTTTATTCATGTATTGTAGTTTTCTATTTCAAGTATGTTAAAACCGTTGCGGTCAAAGATGATTATTAATTGAAACAATTTTATTTTATTACCACAAAACAAAATGCAATTCTCAGTTTGTAATTTTAAGAAAAAAACAACCTTGATGAAAAAATACTGCTTCGGTAGTTTAAGTCAATGTAACATGTTTTCCTGTTAGTTTGTTCATTGATATTTTAAGTAACTCAATAAAATATAGCGTTTAAGTTTTATAAGTTATTTCAACTCAACAATGATAAAATGTATTTTTCTCCCAGCTTCACTAAAGTATGAAATTCAAAGTACCTCAGTGCCATAAAGTTAAAAACCAATCCAACCAAAGTTCAGATTAAATTTACAATAAAATGAAAACATGTGAAGCTGAGAAAAAGTTTGGTTTTTGTAAGAAAAATAATTGGTTTGCTTGGAAAGTATAGGGAAGCAAATGATTGTTTAACTTGTAATTAGTAGGTAATATAAGATATTGATGTCAAATTTGTATATTTCATACAATTAAATACATAATTTCAAAGACAACAATTAAATTAATACTATTAATTATTGTATTCATGTCCATATTCACATATATTTTCTAATAATTACTATTTAAAATGTTGAGTTATGTAAATTACAATGAAATTTAATATCTCAAATCGAAAATATTAGTTGGATTACTACATGTATATAATCAGTAATACAAATTGATTTTTCCTTTAAAAAATTTTGTTTATAGCGACTGTATATTGTATACACTTTTAATAGACAAGGTCCATTTTTTAATGGTGCAAACCTAAGCTTTCTACAAACAAAAAATGGTTGTGCATTATTTCAATTTCTATTTTGTTGATTATGTAGCCACCTTCTGGTTTGCAGTTATATTTTTGTAAATTTTAGTATAATGTGCACAAAATTATTTGTTTTTTTTAGTTATTAAATTCTCACCAATTACTTTTATGTGATACAACATTTAGAATTTATTTAGATAATAATATAATATGTATACTCCTATTCCTACTGCAGATTCTGGAATTTGTTACTAAATACTAAGTTCACTTGCTTTAGTTTGCGTTTACAATTTTGATTCCAACATTAATGAATGGTGAAATAAAAATATTGGAGTTTACTAGATGTGTTATACTTTCATAACCTTTGATCATTTTATTACAATAGTCATGATTCATCTCATTTTGTTTCATTTGATGCATATATTTTATAGACGTAATAGCGATATATTTCAGAGCAACTTGATCATCTTACATGTACCATTCATAAAACATTTTTGGACTATGCTTTCTTTGTCCATGAATTTCAAACCCAAAGTCGGGAACTTCTGTGTAATTCCGATTACTATAAAGTAATTCTATGGCCGCAATTGGTATTAGCATTTTATATGTGTATACATCGCCAAGTCTGGTGATTTTTTACACTTAGTTCTATGCTTTACAAAAAGAATTTCGCATTACAGTTCATAGTAACCTAAATATTGTCGGTTTGTTACGTTTCCATATGCCATAATGGATTTCCTTCTCTCGGAATAGAAGAGCCCTCAGCAGTGATTTACTTATTGAGGCTTTCGTGGCTTTTTGTGTTTTTTCACTATACGCTGTCTCTATATTTTGTCTTTTTCGTATTTAATCAACATAAACAAATCGTATATAAGCAAAGGATACACAAACATAATAAAGCATAATATTTATGATATGATACATCACATGGACTTTTTATCGTATTAACCTTTAACTGGTAACTATTTGAAATATACTAACCCTTTCAAACTGAAACATGTACTTGTATACGCTCATACAATAAATTAATAAAAAAAAATAATTTCGCCAATCTAATTTCAAAATTTCAAATGCTACCGAAATAAAAGGTTATCTAATAATATATATCATTTTAACAGGTACCTAGGACAATAACATGTCAACAACAACTATTCTTATTTATAGGTACTTTCTCAACATATAAAATTTATTTTAAACAAAATGACACCGCGCTTTATCAACGCGTCACATTTTTGAAGTTATACTTCTTTAGGCGCGTTATGAAAAATTTATGAGAGTGAAATTTTACAATGCGCGCGCACCCGTGACACAAAATTAGGAGTGTGATTATAGCGTGCGCGAGCGAGATAGGAATAAGACACCAATAAGTATGCTCATACTTCTAGTTTTACATATTGTTTACTCAAGACTATACATCTCTATTTCATTATTAGGTTATTCCCGCCATAGTGACAAAAGCGTAGAAATTAAGATGTTCTCTATGGTAGGGGAATTACCCCCTGGTATTTTTCTTAAAGGTGTAGACATTGAGATTATTCTTATGGTAGAAACCTCTTTTTTTTCAGAAAGACAGTCAGTTATTTTATTGTGGATGTTTGAAGTTGAGTGGAGTGGAGTACAATAAAAAATGAGTACAAGTCACTCTGAATTCTTCAAAAGACTAATGAAAAGTTTGCAAAGTGTTCTTTGTGTAAAAGAGAGTATAAACTAAGTGAAATACTCACTATTGATCATTAAGAGAAAAATATGAGGTTGGTCATCCAATGTTTCTTTACTCAAACTTCCCTCTCTGGCCCAACCCTAAAAAGAAATACGTTAAAATTTTTAGAAGTAGTAAATATCAGATGGGAAAACAAAGAAAATTTGGATAAATACGTCGCATATTCTGTTGACATGGAACCTCTCGAAAAGGTAGGATTTCGGGACTTTTAAATGCTCTCGATAGTGTTAAATTCCATCACAATTGAAGAGAATTCTATATTTAAAAGTGAACAGCTCTCCTTTCAAACAACTGTTAGTGTGACTACTATTTTGACATCAATTCATGAAGCTCTTTCAGTTACTTGTCATTTCTTTCACAACGAAAAATTTTCACCATTATTGAAGTGTATATGGAGGAGTAAAATATACAGTTTTTTTTAATTTTCATGCCTTATACCTACCAATTAGTGTTTCTTTTATCGGACTAAACTGTTTTTTTTTTCAGGTTTGATCTACTCTTTCAAATGGGGTGCGGTCAATTCTCCCCCTATCCCCTTAAACACTTCCCTCTTCCCCTAAACTACGTCTGATTCGTTCTTGACCTGCTTAACCAGATTCTGAAAAAAATTAAATTGATTGTGACATTTTTCAAGTGAGTACCCGATTAGCTTATTTATAAGCAACAAGTTCCAAAGCTCCCCAGTCATTCCTCAACTTTTACTGAGCATTACTCCTTGAATTATCGCCCAGTCCTAATACCTTTTTATTCGATTCTGAACCTTTCACCTCACAAATTTAAAGCTTTTTTATTTCCTTATTCGTGTATTGGCGTTATCTCTTGTTACTGAAAGCGATATTACTCTCTGAAGGCTCAGTTGACAAAAGCTAAGTCCTAAAACGCCCTTTTCTGGCTACAATATTGACCCCGATTTAGAAGAAGGGGTTCAAAACAAGTGACGAAGCGAGCTGTCAGTGGTAGAAAAGGCCTTCCTTTTCTGACCTGCTCCCCCTCCTTCAAACCTTACCTGTGATTCCTACTTCCCTACCCCTTTGAATCATGGTGTGTAGATATCTGAACCATAATTGACAGGAAAGAGTGTCCTCTCTAGATACACTAAAATAAATTAAAGGAATTAGATTCTTCTTTATTCAGCATCTTCTGTCCTCAAGGATTTTTCGAAGGCGGACAAATCACGGAGAATAAAGGAACGAATTGTTGTTTATAAAAAAATAGTAATTTTTATGTTTGATTTGTTTCCTTAATAATGATGAATGCTGATTTTTTTATTGTTATTTCAAATTTAATAGAAAATAAAACTCTTCTTCGTATATAACATTTGTTATTTTATTGATGTTACCTAATCCTACAATCTTTTAAACTATCGATAGACTAATACTATCGATAGCTTTTAGTAAAACTCTCGATACTATCGGATTACCAAACTATCGATGTTTAACGTACACTAATCTACAAGTAAAAATAAATAGAATATGCGTGAAGTTCGTATGCCAACAATTTTGAATGACCATAATGACATTTGTCATTTACCTTTTAAACAAATAAAGGAGTTTTAATTATTTTTTCAAAGAAATTTAGCGATGCTTTTTGAATTATAATCAGAAGTGATTTAAATTGAATATTTAAACCAATACTAATTAATATTTGTGAAAAAACTGTGCTCATCAACCTTCCTAAGTGCTTCAATACAATTGAGGTTAACTATCCGTATGTATTATTATTATTATCGAGTAATGTTTTGATTAAAAAATTAACCACATTGTTTAATCAAAACATGTAATTTTTCTGATTTTATCTAGCAAATATAAGGAAAAGAGAAAAAAAACAATTGATGAATCAGTGTAACTGCACTAAATTGAATACAAAAAAAGAGTTTTCATCTTATCGCTGTGAAACATCAAAAACTGGAGGTGGAACAAAGCCAAACTATTTTTAATATTGCAAAAGAAGTATAACTTCTTACGCGCGTACATAAGTTCACGGACCCTTTTTTTTTAAATAAATTAATCCCCTTAAAACTTTAAAAGCTTTAAAAACAACCTTTGTTAATTTGTGTAATAAATAATGTCCAGGTGCCAATAACTTGTTTTTTTAAGATTGTCTTTGCCAAGAACCCGAGGAGGTTTACATCAATATTATTTGCCATTTGAATATGAGTTAAATGCAATGAATACGCATGGACTAATCTTGCCTGCATCTGAATCTGTGACATCAGCGCATGCGTTAGGTTTTGGTGCCACTGGTACGTGAGTTGCAGCTTCTATATTTGGTGATTTTGTTTTATTATCGCATAAAAATGTCTCAT